CATTTTAGTGATGGACGCTGGTAACGCGGTGGTGAGTCAATTCTTTTTTATAATCTTATTTTTTCGTGTATTTTTAATAATAACGTAAACTACCGTAAACCATTCAATCTAAGTAAGTTGAATTTGAATAGATTACGAAATTTTTCTTTTATTTATGATTATGGGAAGTCAATGCAACCATGATCGTAATTTATCGATCATTTTTGTACATTTTTAAATTTCTTTTTCTAATTATTATATTTATTTTTAATTTTTAAAAGCATATAAATATGTTTATTTTATGAGTTCTTCAAATTTTTCCTTAATCATTTTCGTGCTCTTTCTTGAAGTGAAATATCCTACTTCAAAAAAGAGTTCAAATACCTCGACTATTGAAAAAGAGTAAAAAATTTGCACTTTCGAATAAGATGGTAGATTTTCACTCTTTTGAAGTGAGATTCACTCCAAAGGAAAGAAATCTTACTCTTTTTCTTTTAATGAATCTTATTTCAAAAGAATGAAAATCTACTTTTACTCTTTTTTTAATAGTGGCTGTATTTTAACTCTTTTGGAGTGAGATTTTACTTAAAAAATTTAGAGAATGGTATTTTATTGAAATAAATTTGTTTAAATACATTATTTAACTGTTGGAAGATTGCAAAATAGTATATTTACAATGTTCAATAATGCTAATTTTGAATATGAAAATGCTGATAGTACCCATTTTTTTGTTCTGCGATGTGATCCATCAGTAGAAATGATTATTTTCATTATTATGTTACGTAAGTGTTTATACGTTCCACGTATCAAGTAAAAGATATATGTAGATAGTTTTTGTACACGAGAATGCATCGTAAATTGCGAGCTTTCTTTTCAAAATTGGACTTTTATCGTGTGCAGGAATTCGATCATCCCCACGTGCTGCTGCAGAAGGAGTCGGGCTATTTGAAGAGCATGGTGCAGGAAACCGGCACGGTGATGGCAGAGGCTCTGGCCAGTGTTGCCCGCAATTGCTACCAGAATCGAGTTTTGCTGCATCCGCTGTGTTAATCTTTCGCAATTGCATATGACAAACATCAGATCATTCCGTCGATTTTTTACGAATAATTCTTAGATAAATTATTGAAATTTGAAAAATAAGAGGAAAAGTGCAATGTAGATGAAATTCAGTCCGAGAATAGATTAATTGTTTTGCTACGAGTTCTATCTGGATGTTCCTTTTATTTTAGTAATAAACGAATTCTTTGTCACGTAAAACGCGATTATCGCCAATGTATTTCAATTAAGCCGTATATATACCTAGCGAACGACTGATTGAACAACAAATGCAATCCAACTGTAATCACAGTATTACTATGTCATTTCAGTATCAGCTCGAAATATTTCATCAGAAAGAATAAATTGAAACTGTTGGGTCAGTGATAGATCTTATCGTGATCTTATCTATAAATGGTATAAACATTTCTAGGAAGCAATTTCTTGTATATACATCCATGGATAAAAATGTGACGCAAGTCAGAAATTATTATACTATTAAAATTACAGTGTTTGAATTTTAAAAACGTGACGTTGTTTTAAAAAAGACATAATTGCATATCTAGTATAAATATGAAAAAACAATTATGCATTAAGAAACATTTTGGAACATTTCAATAATATTGCAACAACGTTACAATGTTGCCGAAATGTTTCCAAATGTTTCTTACTTACTGGATATTCACTACTGTAATTAAAACATTGTCTCAATTAAAAATTTTAAAAGCTTTATTAAAGATTACTAGTTTTGAGATATCACTTTTTTTAACACAATAATATATATTATATATTTTCTGTTATTAAAACACAAATAAAAATTAAAATTTCGTGTAATATTTGTGATTATAAAATTTGATAAACATAACGTATATATTTATAACATGAAGAAAAAAAAAATATTTTAAAAACACACAAATATGCCTTCTTATACGAGTATCAATAAATGAATCGGCAATTGTCGGATGAGTTTATTAGTCCCTCCATCGCTACAGCGCACTATTCTTGATTTTAAACATTTACGTTTTAATATTCATTTTGAATAAATGATATAAAGTAAACGTTTACGTTTTAATATTCACTTTGAATAAATGATATAAAATACACACAAATAACCAGTATTAGCTCAATTGGCATTTTAATTTTTAATTTATAAATTTTTCTTTAGAGTCTATTGATTATCTTGTTTTTAATAAAATAAACTTGAAAAAATTTTTTTTTCAATCAAAAGTTATGTGATATTTGTGGTACTTGTGTATCGATAATAAATTAGAAATTATATTAGGTGTTGGAATTAATTCGTAGCGTTTTACAAGTGATGGGAAGTACTTTCATTAATGTATTTTTTAATGCTCATGTGAAATAAATAACATTCTTTCATTAAAAAACGCTACGAATTAATTCCAACACCTAATATGATTTTATAGAAAATTTATATTAAAAAAATTATATTTAAATTTTTATATAACACAGTCGAAAAGTGAAATATTTTAAAAAATGTACTTTATAGAGGATGGGTGATGCATTCATGATTATAATTAATTTAATTCTGATTAAAATTTCAAGATATCTTTAATATTCTTTACAAAAAAAATGTCAAATATTGCAAAAAAGTAAAAACGGACAAATGCAAGCACACGTGTGACTGACGAATCAGAAAATTTTGAAAAGTGATGGATTCAATTTCGAGATATCGCTAATAATAGTATCAATTTTTTCGAATTAGTTGCAATCGAAAGTTTGTATCGGCATTAAGTAAGAAAGTTAGATAAGGTAGAAAGTTAGATTTTTTTATTGCGGTTTAAATTTCTGAACAATTTCAATCGAATTTGTTGCCACAAAAATTTATTAACAAAAATTCCGGATAAAGCTATTGATAATGCTGTAAACTTGGTAGGGCACAAATGATAGTCAAATGACGGTCCATTTTGTTTCTATTGTATGTTTCATTTTATGTTCTTGTATCGTAATGTTATCGCACCGCTTGATAGGTTTAAAACTAGCTAAATATAGATTACGGTTAAGCGACACTTAAACGTGCACTTAACGCTTTTAGACATTAAATTGTATGTATAATGTCTGCATAATACTATGTGCATGTTGCATGCAATATTTGGTGTGAATTAGTTGATGCTGTTAATAAACAAACGTAATGAATAAAGCTTATTTTTGCTGAATTGTATATGACAATATTAATAGAAATTTCTCTCCTTCCTCCTCCTACGCAATAAAATCCAGACTGCGCCGTGCATCGATGGATATAAATTATTAATTGATTATAATAATAATTATAGTCTCTTTCAAATTTTATATATCTATATTTTTATTATCTTTTAATTTTAATTAAATAAAAAATTTATTAATCATTTTTTTATTATTTTTTGCATTTCATTATTTATTTTTTTATTTTTTCAAAAATGCACTAATCATATAATTTATGTAGTATTACTACTTTTTACTTACTATGTAAATGCACTTATATGCATACCGATTATGCGTATTTTAAGGTTAAATAATTTTATTTATTAAATAATATTGATTTATTTTAGAATTATTTGAACTTGAACAAATTTCGCGCAATTATGAACTAAAAGTTGAATCCTTCGCCGTATCTCTATAGACATGATATATCCGATACTTTTTCCAAGATAAGGTTCATATCATTAACTATAATTTTATTGTTATCTATAATTTTAAAAGTTTACTATTGGCAGGAAAAAAAAATACAAAAAAGTACCATTAAGGCTGATATTAGGAAGGATAATCATCGTCTTCGACCATTTTTACAAATGTAAACCATTTTTACAAATGTTTTAAAACGATCTCATCATTTCATTTTATCCAAATTGTTTTTTGTTTACACATAGCACGTAACAAAAATTAACATGTTATTTCTCGCCTTTGACGTCACGATTCAACATGACTGTAGTGGCTACTCAAGAGTCTTAAGGTTTGCTCTACTTGTGGCATAAAGTACGACGTCAGTCATACAAAGACTTCGAAATAGGAAGAGTTTAAAAAGTACAGATATCGCAGATATATATATCGCTCTACATTCTAAAGTGAATATCGTTCTATACTCTAAAATGTGTTAAAAAAATTTACATAATATTTCCATTACTGATTAACATAAGTATAACAATAATAAATTTTTTTTCTTCTTACTTATATTATAATATTGTGAGAGTAGTTTTATATCCATATATTTATTAGATGAGTAAATATGGTTTAACTTCTTTAAAGAAAATATTTATTTGTAGACATAAATAGAGATTAAAAACAAAGCAAAACGATCAAAAATAGAAACTAATATGTAAATAATTTTTTATTAAACTAATTAACTATAAAACATTTTAAGCACTTGTTATAGTTATTATTAGTCAATGCATTTATTCTTAATTGATAATTTACAAAAATAAAAACAAACGATAAAAATTTATATATGTACGATATCATACAGCTGATAAAGACTAAAATAAATGATTTCAACATCTATAATATTTAATTGTTTAAATAAAAGAACTGTTTACGTAATAACATCAATATATTGACATAAAATAATTTTTTTAAAAGAAGGCTAGCTTTTATTTTTTCAATGACCGTTTAAGATTATTATTTTATTTCTACTTTTTTTGTCTTTTTCTTCATGAAAACCAAAAATTATCATAATAATGACGCTACACTCAAAAATTGATTGAAATGAAGTATAAAATCCTTATTCACATTGTTAAGAAATTATTGTCAGTTATGCGTCAATCATTTCAAAATTAAAACTCAAAAAGAAAGAATTATCAATCATGTAATAGATGTATTATACTTAAGTGTGTTTGTACTTATTACCTCGCGAAATCTACACACTTCGCAATTTTATACGCCAAGAACACCTAGAAGTATATATAAATGTCTTCTGTCTATCTAGATACAGATTTTCTCCGATGATGCATTGTTAAATGTAATCGCAGCGTGTGTACGTAAGTATTAAAGTTTAATTATACCTTTGCAGACAAGATTTCTGTGAGACAACGCCGTCATGGATGGAAAAGTGTACACTGAGAAAATGAAGAATCCCAGAGCGGATGCTAACATTTTCAGCGTCTTGACGTTCTCGTAAGTACGAACATTTTACATTTTTGTCGATCTATCCGATTTTATACTTTGAATAGTGTATTTCTTATTCGATAATATTAAATCTTTATATCGTGGATGTATAAAATGTTCAATTAAAGTGTAAAGGGATCAGTTATTTTGCGTTTCGCTTACAATACACTTTTATAGAGTAATTATTTTTCATAACAATCGTCATAATAAGTAGACAAATAGCAGATAAAAAAGAAATAGATACAGTTTGATTGTATTATATATATTAGTAGATCAAATCTCGGATGATGAGCGAGCTAGTCGAGCCCGAATTATGAATTATCAGATATGAATCTATAAATAATATAAATTAATTGATAGTAGCTTTTAACAAATAACATTACAGCAAATAATTTATCTTAATATAGATTTAATGAATAACAATTTAGAAATAATTGATTTCAAATTAACTTTGATCAGAATTATCTTGGATCGATTCAGATCGAGGAATGCAAATCATTTATGCGAAATCCTACTTAAAGTATATCTTGGAAAATTAATATCTCAGCGAAACAAGCACAAATTAAGAATTGGATGAATTGTAAATGGTTCGTGCGAGTAAAATGTTTTGTTTTTCTTTTCTGCAGTTGGATCTTACGTACTTTCTGGGTGGGTTACCACCGAGATCTTGAAGTAACTGATTTGTACACACCTCTTAAGGAGCATACAAGTGATATTCTTGGTGATAAATTAGCAAAGGCCTGGCAGAAGGAATGCGAGGCATATCAGTGTCGACTGAAGCAGGTCGTGAAGAGCGGATCACAGAAGAAGATCAAGGAACCCAGTCTGATGAAAGTTCTTATGAAATGTTTCGGCCTCAAGATTATACTGTATGGGATTTGTGCGACCTTTGCAGAGATCGTGATCAGGTAAACTCTCATTTCTTATCTATAAATTTCCAGGCTTAGCAGTAACGCATTATTTGTAACGCCATTATTTTATTGATCGTTATCTTATAAGTAACGCGTTACAAATTAATAAAAAAAGAAATTTTCAATAACGAATGACTTTTTTAACTCGTTACAAGTAACAATTGATTTTTCTGACTCTGATTATCGTCATAAAAAATTCACAATATCAAATCGTTATTATAACAAGGTAACAATCAACAAAGTAACGTTATGCATTACTCGATACTTATTACTTTTTTTAATAAGTAACGCGTTTAATAAGTAACTGATGACAAATTACTTTTTAAAGTGACTTTTCTACCCTTAGCAACTTTCAACCTTAGCGTTTAGTTACCGTCATAAAAAATTGCAACATCGTCAAATTGTTTACTAGAAAGTAACGACAAAGTAACCGAAAAGTAACGTTTGCCAATACTGTAAATTCCCTTGTGGATTTTTATCCCAATTTTTGTCATTTTCTACATTGGATGGTGTCACTGACTTATAATGAGCTATAAAACACAAATTATTTTAGCAATATTATAGCAACATTGCACGCTCCTGCTATATATTGCAAACGTTGCGGCAATATTGCTTCTGTGCTATATGGGTTTTTGTGAAGTGTTTAGGAAACATTAATAGAAATAATTTTATTGAGAGAAGTGTAGATAACAGAAATGTTCCATGCATATTTTACGGAGTGTTTAGGGAGCGTATATGGATATTCGAAATTGGAATGAGTCAATAGAAATCAATGAAATTTCTAAGAAATATTAAATCTCTTTGTTTGCACTTTTTGGCTCTTCCAGAAATTTTTAATTTTTACAGGGGGATGTTGCAGCCGTTATTGGTAGGCCAAATGTTGCACTACTTTAACTCTATGGACGTCGACAAGTTGCACGCGTATAGCTGTGCCGTCGGCATCATTCTCTGCTCCGCTTTTAATGTGTTCGTTACTCATTTGACTTTGATGGGTATTACACACATGAGCTTGAAGATTCGCGTCGCCTGCTATTCACTGATTTACCGCAAAACATTGAAGATGACCAGGACCGCACTGAGCGAGACGACAATCGGCCAGATAGTCAATTTGCTATCTAATGACATCAACAGATTCGAGGTCTATCTCATATTTCTCCATTCTCTGTGGTTCGGACCTTTGGAGACCATTATCCTCACGTACGTAATGTACTACGTAATCGACATCGGAGTATCGTCTATCATCGGTGTCGCTGCTCTGCTAATGTTCATCCCTTTACAAGGTAGAGAAAGTTACTGCTATGATCGTTTGTAGTAATGAAAGTAATCGGGGAACCAAGGTAAAAATAACTTGTCATATATGTATATATGTGTGCAAAGGTAAAAACATTTAAGTAAGAAGTAATTCTGACAATCATCATTTTGCTTCATTTCAGTTGTCAATTTTGAAATTTTGATTTTCAATTAACTTTGATAAATATAAATTAATTGATAATAAATTTTAATAAATAACATCTTGCAGCAAATAATTTATTTTAATTCATAATAATACAGATTAATGAATAATAATTTAGAGGTAATTGATTTCAAATTAACTTTGATCTGGAATATATTAAGACTTTATTATTTCTAAATTGTAAATTAAGTTTCTAAATTTAAACTCATCAAAGTTTAAAAATTCCGTTTTCAATTTTCTAAATTTTCATTACATGCTCAAATTTTTAAATTTATTGTTAAATTTATAATTAATAAATCTTTTTCCTCTAGTCAACAAATTGTGTACACTGTTTAATTAATATCCTATTTGGAGAACGATTGAAAATTTCTTCTAATCCTATTTCATGTTTCGTTTTCGAAATTCCTCAGTGTGGTTAGGCAAAAAATCATCAGAGTTAAGATCAAGGATCGCTATCAAAACTGATGAGAGAGTACGATTCACGAACGAGATCGTCAGTGGAATTCAAGCCATCAAGATGTATACCTGGGAAAATCCGTTCAGCGCCCTTATAGAAAAAGCAAGGAAGTTAGTACCGCTGCATACACTGATTACGCATGCAATTCTCATATTATTGTATATTGAGTAATCATTAAGAAAAATCATCTAGATTAGGACAAAGTAATATTTTGAATTTAAAGTTTTTTATAACATAAATTAAAGTACAATATTTATCTTAATAGGATTTACCTTTAATTGTAAAATATTTTTAATTACAAAAATTTTCTTTGGTTCAATTTTGTAATAATTAAGAAAAAAATTATTAATTAAAAACTCTCTCTATGAATAAGAATTCTGCCGCGTCCCAAACGCTGAGATAATAATAACAGTAAAAGGGAATATTTATGAATAAAATAATAATTTTTATTAGATTTTATCAATAAAAATTTATAATAATATGTATTTATCATATATATCATAAATATTTAAAATAACGATAATAAAGTTTACAAATACAAATACAAATAAGAAAAGAATGCATTTTCGATTAAAATGAGTCTTAATGTTTAATAATCTTGATACATGATATTTGAGTTTATAACTACTTGATAGTTAAAATCTAATTTGTTTATAAAAAGTTATTTATTTTTTAATTTTGAAATTTAAGTAGCCAAAACTTATTAATTCTCAATATTGAGACACGAATTCAATAAACTCTGTTTATACGTTTTAGATCAGAAAAGATAAATACAATTTTGCAGAAAAAAAGTTAATACTATGGAATTCATTTGCAGAATGGAAATTAATATTATCCGGTGGGCGTCGTATATAAAGGGTATTAGCACATCTTTCATCATTTTCACCACAAGAATATCATTGTTCGTCACAGTGCTGGCTTACACACTATTCGGCTATGAAATAACAGCTGAGAAGGTGTTTATGATATCCGCATGTTACAACTGTTTATGCTTATCCATGGCTATGTTTCTTCCGCAAGGTATGTGATAATTTCAGAAAAAGATGATAATGTGTGATTCTTTTGTTTTATTTTTTTCTTATGTAATGTTTTACTTTATAGAATTAGTGATATTGTTATAATTGTTTAGATTGATCTAAGTTATTAAACACACGAGAAATGATTTTTTTTAAGCTAACACTTTTCGCCACAAAAAATAACACCATAATTAAATATATGCTCCAGTCCTAATATTTCTGTACTCGAAAAGATTTAGCAGAATAATGTAATTGAAAATGGAGATACTGGCTTAAACTTAAGTTAGCATTCTCTTCATTAAATTATATATAAAATTTAAAAGTTAGTACAGTAAAACTGAGTACTTTTTATGCCACATCCAGAAGGGTTTTTAAGGGTCAATAATCATGTCTGTCGTTAAATATGAGACAAAATTATTCTATATTCTTATTTTTATTTATTTATCTATTTTGTCCAACTTAGGGATAAGAGGAGCAGCGGAAATGATTGTAACCGTAAAACGGCTAAAGAAGTTCTTGATGTGTGACGAATTGATATCTTCTAAGATCGAAATGAAGAAGAACAAAGAGAACAACAAAAATACGAAGAAAAATAACAAGGAGAGCATAAAGCAGAATAATAAAAAAAACGCAAAGCATCAGAAGCAGGAAAATGTAAAGGAAGATTTAACCGAACAAAATAAAAAGGACTACATCATCGTAGACCAGCCGAAGTGTTTCGAATACAGCATTTCAATCAAGAATGGCAGCGCCAAGTGGCAGGATTATGAAAAGGAAAACACCTTGCATAATATAAACATAGATGTGCGTCCTAATGAACTAATTGCTGTCGTCGGCCAGGTCGGTGCGGGCAAGAGCAGCCTGATAAACGTTATCTTGAAAGAACTTCGTTTGTACAAAGGTTTTATTCAAGTATGTTGATAATTCACCTTTAATAATTATACTCGATTTTCCATTTTCTGATTAACTTGTGATTAAGAGAGCTTTCCGATTTACATTATTCCGCAATTTTTTTTACCTCGACAGAAGCCCAAGTGATGATTATTTTATATACTTTTTTTTCACAGATTAACGGCAAAATTGCCTATGCCAGTCAAGAACCGTGGCTGTTCGCCGGATCGGTGAGACAGAATATTTTATTTGGACGAAAAATGGATCAGATTCGATACAATCATGTGATTGAAGTGTGTCAGTTAAAGAGAGATTTCAGTCTGCTGCCTTATGGTGATAAAACAATCATAGGCGAGAGAGGTATCAGTCTTTCCGGTGGCCAGCGGGCAAGGTTCGTTTTAAAGTCATCTTAATAAGACAAAACTTGCAAAATTTGTAAAATTTTTTAATCTGTATAATTGACAGAGATCTTTTAGAATTAATAAGTAATTAAAAATATCATTTTTAATCAGTATAGATAGATAGCTCAAACACGAGCATATATCTATACTAATTATTATTGTTATTGCAATTCCGAACTGTTAACAATTACATATGATTTTTATTTACTTTCTTCTTAACTTTCTATCGTAACATTTAAGTTAACATTATATTTTAATTTGTTAATTATTAATTTATTTAATTTTTTATTTCTTCTGATTATTATAAAAATATTTTCTTTGCTTATCTATTTAATCTTTGAAATAAGCTTTTCTCAATGAGATGAATATTTAAAAATGTATGTTTTATTAATGTTTACATTTAATGTACGTAATGTAAGAATTTTCATTTTTGACACTGAGAAAAATAAATTTATATGCTTTAATTAAATTAATATATACAATTAATGCAATTTAATTTTCCGTCTTAATAAAATTAATTTTGTTAAGAAAGCACAAATTTCAATTAATTTTTTTGAAAGTTTTCGTATTGCATATAAAATATAAATAGTTAGAAAAGACACATTGGTTATAATATTGTATATATTATAGTAATAATGATGAAATATTGATAAATGACAGAGTAAACTTAGCGAGAGCCGTTTATGCCGACGCTGACATATATCTCATGGACGATCCTTTAAGCGCCGTAGATGCCCATGTGGGCAAGTATATGTTTGAAAAATGCATCAGCAAATATCTAGGAAACAAGACTCGGATTCTTGTGACTCATCAATTGCAATACTTACACAACGTCGATAGAATTATTGTATTGAAAAACGGAACTATTCAGGCTGAAGGGTACGATTCTATTGCACTTTCTTTCTATTTCTCTTAATTTGTATCTTACATATTATAATCTTGCTACAATTTCTATAATGAAGTAAAACATTACTGACATCCATATATTTTACGTTTTTATTCATACATTTATTTTATTGCTTTGTTTTATCTTTACGATTAAAGCCTTAATTCTTTATCACAAAGAGAGGAATGAAGGACGAATGAGAATATTATTTGTAAACCAAAACGAAAAAGAACTTACTTTTATTAAAGTTCTTTATCAGTAGATAGTATCTATGACTCAGGTACATGTGCGAGAACATTTTAATGGCCTTTAACGGAACTAATTACTTTGGGCTTATCTATCTGGTGATAAAGCAAAACATTCTATTTTAAGTCTTTATATCAATAGTTTCTTAAACATCAGGAATCATTGTCTCTTTACAGAAAAAATACAAATAGCAATATTGACATGGAATATTTAAATGCACGTGTGCCTGTCTTGTAACGCCGTGTAACAAATCTTTTATTATTTTCAAAAAATTTGTTTGGAAAGTTGAAACGAATATTTATATTAATTTATATTAATCACTTCTATTGCTTTATAGTATAAAATTTTTTTGTTCATCAGGACTTATGACGAACTGAGCTCTATGAGATTGGATTTCGGTCAGTTATTGGAAAATCAATGGGAAGTGAATGAGAAATCCTCTCCGTCCCTTTTGGCTTCTATCAGCCGTAGAAATTCGCACACTAGTATCAAATCCTTGAATTCTTTTATGATTGATGACACTTCGAAACAAGGGCCTGCTGAAGTAATTTGGACTTATTTTCTAATTATTTATTTTCTGAAGTAACTACTATGTATCGTATTTAACTAACATTATGATATTGTGATTTAGAATAATCGTATCTTAAATATAGCGAAACATTAGTTCAAGTATTCTATCTTTCTTAAGTTTGATTTTAACATATTAAAAAAAATATTATCATTAACGTTTAATAAGTAGGCAGGAGTAACGAGCCAATTAACTCATATCTATATAATATTCTACTATTTATTCTACCATATTTTGTCTGATAGAAGAAATATGTAGCCATGAGACCATTTTGATTTTTTGTTTTACAAAGATATGAAACTTAAAAAAATGTCTTCGTCTGACATAATCAGATTTTGTGCAATTTGATTTTTTTATAATTATAATAAACGGAACCATGTTTTTTCGTGGTAAATATATATCTGCTCAATCATCATATTTTACTTCGTAGAAGTAACATTCAAATCGTCATGAGAGCTTATAGACCCCCTTTTTTAAAATAAAGTTTCGAAGGTCCGTATAAAATCAAATTTTGCAACTTTGTTCTTAAAACACTGTGATAAATAAAATTATCTGTATGTCGGCTATACTTTAGTGCAGATTGAGTGACATATCAGATTGAATTTTTATTTGTCTTTCTTCAGAAAAATTGTAGGGACTTGTTGATCCTTAATAATTAAACAATATTTGTGTGAGTTTACTTTTATTTAGAAGTACGCATATTAATTTCGAATCCGCGAATGTTCTTTTACCTATCATTGAAATAATTTTATATTTTAACACTAAATTATAAGTTAAATTTTAATCGTTAATTTCAGGTGGCTGAGATGCGAACAGTAGGCAATGTTTCCGGCAGAGTTTATACGAATTATTTACGCGCTGGCGGAAACTGGTGCGTGATATCTATAGTGGCTATGCTTTTTATATTAACACAACTAGCAGCCGGCAGCAGCGACTTCTTTCTTGCCCAATGGATTGAAATAGAAGAACATTTTGTAAGTGTCTATGTACAAGTTGCTAAAATAATTCGCGAATTGAGGCATAATCGCTTTTCCAGAAAATTATAACAGTTATCCCTTCTTGCTCAGTCGGATTGGCTCGTTGGAAATTAAAGAAGAGAGAAATACCAATTTGGAAAAAAACAATAATCCCTTATCTATTAGCTAATAAGAGTTAGTCTCGCTTGGCACATTTTAAAAAGTGTAATTTTTTTTAAACGTAAGCAGAAAGAAGTTTTTGTAGAAAGATCGTAGATCTCATTTTACATTAATCATATTTTGTTAATTGTATAATTTTATAGATGAATCAAACGGAAAACGGCGTCATAGAGGACCTGAGGAGTCCCCTCACCCGCATGCAGTGCGTCTACATCTACAGCGGGTTGATCGTGCTGACGATCTGCATCACCTTAATTCGTTCGTTGATCTTCTTCTGGACGTGCATGCGGTCCTCAGTGCGCTTGCACGATCACATGTTCCGTAGCATCAGCCGCGCCACTATGCGATTCTTCAACACCAACACGTCGGGACGTATACTCAATCGCTTCTCCAAAGATATGGGCGGAGTAGATGAGATGCTGCCCACTTTGTTTATGGACAGTGTCCAGATCAGTCTATGGATGCTGAGCATCACCGTTCTGGTCGCCATCTCGAACGTGTGGCTGCTGATACCCACAGCTTTTGTTGGTATTGTCTTTTATTACCTGAGAACCTTCTACCTGGCCACTAGTCGTAGTGTTAAGCGTCTCGAAGGCACCAGTGAGTATCTTAGGCTCATCTTTTACTAGAATAGACATAACTAATCTCCCAATAAAATAAAAGAAGTTTCGATCGCAGATTGAAGCATTATGAATCTCATTGAATTGACGATGGATTTCAACTCTTCGAATAAAGTGAGTAGAGTTTTCAACTTTCCTCAGCTCGCTCACCGGTCTTCGCTCATCTCAACGCGACTCTTCAAGGATTACCGACGATCCGTGCTTTTGGGGCGGAAACGATTCTTATGAAGGAGTTTGATAATCACCAAGATCTTCATTCGTCCGCGACATACATTTTTATCGCATCTACGCGCGCCTTCGGCCTTTGGCTGGATATTGTCTGTATTCTGTACATTGCACTGGTCACGCTAAGCTTCCTTATGTTGGACAACTATGGCCGCGGTTCGAGGAACGGCGAATATGTAGGTTTGGCGATCACACAGAGTATCAATATCACCGGCATGTTCCAATGGGGTATGCGTCAAAGTGCTGAGCTGGAGAACCAAATGACCTCTGTGGAGCGTATCCTTGAGTACAGGTACTCTATACTTTGGACGTTGTATGTATTAAGTGCACATTATCTCTATGAATTATTTTATCTTATTAAAATATAAATTTGTTTATCTCACATCCCTGTATTTACAATTTTTAACTCTCTGATAAATCATTATTAAAATCAAAGTGACGCAGAATTTAGTCGACGATTTAATCTATTGATTATAAATATTTATTGAGATCGTTCATCATTCCATTATTGATTATATATTAGATTTTTAAATTCGTAATTTCTTCTAAATCTGCGTGCTAGAAATCTTAAAATTTAAAGCGTTAAAGTATTTCAAATCCTTAATTTAGATCCTTTTTGCTATCAAAAATTGATGACTTTTTTTTATTAACGATACATCCTTTTTTTCGTCTATTTAGATACTTTTTTTTATAATGTTATGTAAATATAAAACTTTCTAAATTATTCCAATCTATTTAAATTACTAACTTTCCGGTGCCAGTTTGTATTATTGCATGATATATCATATTGTATTGCAAACGATAGAAAAATTAACATTTTGTAACAAATTTCTATTTTAATTGAAACGCCAGACATCAAGGAATAGTAACAAGTAAATATGTTATACTTTGAGTAATGAAAAGGTTATATGATATAGCAAAAGAAATCTCAGATATGCCACACTAGAAGTACCACTAGAAAGATTTTATATATATATATATATATATATATCTTTATGTTAATATTCCCTACTTTAATTCTCTTCCAGTAAAGTGGACAGCGAGCCTCCTCTCGAAAGTATCCCTGATAAAAAACCCAAATCAGAGTGGCCGCAGGAAGGCAAAATCGAATTTAAAAACGTGTTTCTTCGCTATGCGCCATTGGAACCGCCGGTGCTTAAAGACCTCACTTTTGTTATCTTTCCTCGGGAGAAAATTGGCATTGTCGGCAGGACCGGCGCCGGCAAGTCATCCTTGATCCAAGCTCTCTTTCGCTTAGCCAACGTGGATGGTCTGATCGAGATCGATAAAGTAAACACGAATCAAATCGGCTTGCACGATCTGCGTTCCAAGATCAGCATTATTCCGCAGGAACCATATCTGTTTTCTGGTACCCTGAGGCGAAATCTTGATCCATTCAATTTATATATGGATGAACTGCTGTGGCAAGCCCTCAAAGAGGTCGAGCTGAAGGAATTAGACTTGGAGACTCATATCAACGAAGGCGGCTCCAATCTCAGCGTCGGCCAGCGGCAGCTGGTTTGCCTGGCGCGCGCGATAGTCAGAAACAACCAGATACTCGTGTTGGATGAGGCGACCGCGAATGTAGATTCGCAAACGGACGAATTGATCCAAATAACAATCAAAAAGAAGTTTGAGAATTGTACGGTGCTGACGATCGCTCATCGGCTCAACACCGTCATGGATAGCGATCGTATCCTGGTGATGGATGCTGGCAGCATTGTGGTGAATCAATTTCTTTATGACTATCTTTTTGTGTATTTTTTAGCGTGGATCATCGAATTTAAATAAGTCACGAAATCTTTCCTTCTCTCTTCGATTATAGAGAATCAAATTAAAAATTTATCTTTGATTATCTTTGTAATATATCTTTTACTTAATTTTCTTTTCAGATTATAAAATTTACTTTTGAGCTTTATAATGTTTTAAAGCAACATAATTATGCGTGAATTTTTCGTATAAATATTTCATAAATCTTGAGAATTTTTTTCTTCTTCCTTGTGCGTTTTATTGAAGTAAATTTATTTGAATAAATCATTTATTAGCTGTTAGAGTCAACTGTGCTAATTATACCTATAGCAGAAATGATTTTTATTTTTCATTTTTTGTAGTACACGTTGCGTAAATATTTTATATGCGGCACGTATGAATCAAAGTATGACGCTCTCCAATAGTGCGTAACAAGAACAGATGTTAAATGAGGATTTTTATCCTGCGTAGGAATTTGATCATCCCCATATACTACTGCAGAAGGAGACGGGGTACCTGAAGACTATGGTGCAGGAGACTGGCAAACAGATGGAGAAGATTCTAGCCGACTTTGCCAGCGATTGTTACCAGAATCGCGCCACAATGCTTTGATGTATCCCGACATTAACTTTTAGCAATTCTTTCCGACAGGCATCGTGATTGATCACCGCAAACGTTCCGTCGGTTTTTACAAACAATTCTTAAATTTTTGGGATTTGAAAAATAAAAGGATATCAGATGAAATTCAGTCCGAGAAATTAGAATTTATAATTGTTGCAGTTTTATTTCTTACATAATTGCTCGCATTTTATTTTATTTTATTTTTCTAATGAATCAGTTTTCCAGATTTTTTATTTATAGCGTTTTCGATAGCAATGAGCTTGTAATCTGAGTTGAGTTAATGACATTGTAAAAGGTAGAGTATGCAATGTCAACCAAATAGTAAAGTATGTAATGTCATTAATCCAACCTAAATTAGTTCAAACTCATGGCAATCAAAAATGTTTTAGAATTATTAGCATCCCTGTATGGGGAAGAGAAGATAATGGGAGAAAGAGAGAGAGAGAGTTTAGAAAATTGAAAATAAAATTTAGTATGCCAGAATTATTTAAAGATAGAAAAAGTAAGGAACGTTTTAGATTTAGGATGTCAAAATGCAAATGAAATGTAAAATTAATAAATTAAGTAAGTCGAAATAACCTATACATAACTTATACATAATTTATTTTAATAGTTATATTGTAACTGCAAATTTGTTTAAATTTTGCAAAAAAATTAACAGATATCTGATTTCAATCAAAATAAAATTTAAATTTTTTAATATTAGATATATAAAAAATTCGATATAATTTTTAATAGAGATTGTTGTATCTAACACAGTACAATGTACAGGACACATATTGATAATATTTCTTAAAATAACCTTTTTAAAAGAGAAAAATATATACATAAAAAATATATATATATATATATATATATATATATATACATAAAAAAATCGAATGTTACATCCTTTCTAAAATAAAAAAATATTAATTTTCTTAATAAATAGTTTTAATTATTCAAAAATTATTCAAACTTTAAAAAAACAAATATCAAATGAATGTAATTAGCCAAGTATCTCATTATTCCAAAAATTCGGAAAAATGATTTTGTAAAAAAGTTGGTAGTTTTAAGATACATAATACGAACTAAAAATGAATAAAGTGATTAACCTAAACAAAGTTAGCCCCCCTCCCCACTTTTGAAAGTAACTTATTTCAAAAATGTATATCAAATTATGTAATGTTTAGGTTATATTATGCCCAAATATTAAAATTATAATACAAAAATCACGTTAAAAAGTAAAAAAAAAACGATATTTCTTTAGATTCTCTGATGAAAAAATTTCGCTTCGAAATTATTATGTTCTTTTGTTCTTCTTTAAGTATAATAAATGAAATATGAAAAATGAAATGTAATACTGTAGAGTTAAGCAAGCTCGCAAAACACAGTTTAAATAATTTATAAAAATGAAACAAAATCGTAGGATAAACGCAAAGATAATCGAAATTAAGTTTTTTGAAACATAAAGAAATATTCCATACATGTTTTTTAGAACATTCGCGAATCGTGTATGGATGTTTGAAATTGCAAAGAGTTAAGAATAAATCAATGGAGGTTTCTAAGAAGTTAAAACTCTTTGTTTTTTTTTGACGCTTTGAGAATCTTTTAATTTTCACTAAAGTACGTGTGTATTGAAGATCCATTATACTTTTACAGAAAAAATTCCTATGAGACAAAGCTGTCATCATGGATGGAAAAGTATATACCAAGAAAATAAAGAATCCGAGAGCGAACGCCAACATTTTCAGCATATTGACATTCTTGTAAGTATGAAAAGTAAACGGAGGATACAGATCCTGTTAAAAGAGATAAAACTGAGGAAGAAATGACCTGGTCCAGGAAAGAAATCTAGGAAATGCAATGACTTGACAGAACCCTCCATAAGTTTGGAAATAACGTTTTAGATTTGTAAATAATTATTTAATTAAAAAAAGACAAAATAAAACTACATACATACGTACGTTATTTATAATTAGGCTTTTACAATAACTCTTGTAGTAATATTTATAAATGTATGCGCGTAAAATTGTGTGTAAGAATAATTTATAAATTAATTGTAATGATGTCGATTTAGATAAAGATTATTTATTGTTGATTATAATAAAGCTTGTTGTAAAAATTAATTTAATCCAAAGATTGTTCATTATTAATTATAATAAAGTTGTTTGAATATAGAAATTGTTCTTGAATTATTGTAACAACATAATATATATATATATATGTTGTTATGTGAATATAATACATTAATGGCTATGTTTCCACAGAAAAAGCAGCTTTACAAATATTGTATAATTCTTCAACACGATTGGTTCTTGCTTTAGGTTTTTTATGAATTTATATCAACTAATAATATTTAAAAAAAATACAATAATAAAATTACAAAAATTGGGAAACTGCTTTCTTTGCTGAATGCAGCAGCTAATGCCTAACCATGTCCTATCGTGTACTAATAAATTCAGATTACATAATTGCGATCGCATTAAATAAATGAACAATAAATAATAATAATTAAAATAGATTTCTAATTTTTTAAATACAAAAAATTAACAAATAGCAGAGCTAATATCAAATGCAACTAGAATTTGTAGATAAAAAACCTACAAAACTTGCGCTTCATTATCTGCACTGGCTCTCATTAGCCCTGTTATTTGTTAGTTATTGTATTTTAAATCAACAATATAAGAACTCGCAATTTGCGAGTAAGTTGCCCTCCCGAATATTCAGAATTTATCTTTATATATATATATACATATCTTTCAAAAAATTAGTTTGGTCTTACACACCACCATCCACTTCGTTCAGATCGTCGTCTTTTTTCTGGCCAATATTCTGGCTTAACATGCCAGAGATCGACAGCAAGGAGAAATATTCCTTTTTGCTGCCGACTAAAAGCGTAAAATTTTACGCCTTTGTATGATGCGCGAAACACGAACGCGTCGCGAAGGGGCCACCATATTAATCAAATTGATTAAATATTAATTATCAATAATAATAATTTTATTAATACACGTGTGTAAATAAATTTATTCGCGTCTATTCGAAACTAAAAATATAAGTATTTGACTAAAAATAAATCTAAATTTAAAAAAATCTCTATGAGGGATGTTTTCAATATTTTGATTTTATAAATCTCAAATATTATGAAATTAGATCAAATTTCTTAATATAAATTTTACACAATATAAACAACAAAACTTCAAATTAAACATAAACCGCAAATTACTAAATCAATTACTATCCCAAAATTTAAGGCCCATGTACGTATTCTTAACGATTCGA